ATTTATATTCAAGTCAAATGACTGATATGAGTAGATGTCAAATGAGTATATACTACATATATAAATGAATAGATACTAACTTAATGCAAAATATAATTCGTCTCCTTGGATGGTAATATGCTAATGTTAATTGAAATTTGAACATACACCTCATAAGGTGATTAAAGATTTGGAAGGTTTAATCTGAGCAATGAGCATCATATCTAACTTGTTAATTTCGCAGAATACAGTTCTTCCTTGTTCTGTGAATACAGGTGGTGTGCCTGAAGACTTGAAGTTGAGCCGTGCTTATTGGTTGAGCAAGGGAAAAGTGACGACTCGTTCATTTTGTTGATTTCTAATTTGTAAATGATATGTAATTTTTTTGTAATTTATTGATTTGTAATTTGTAAATGATATGTTTTGTTGTACATTTTAAAAATTTATTTAACAATTAATTTAAGGGTATATATTTTTATTTGTAATTAAATACAAAAAACTAATTTTAATTTTTTCGGGTCAAACGGGTCGGGTCGGGTTGACCCGGACCCGAAGCGGGTCGGGTTTGGTCCAGCAAACTGACCTGTTTCGAAAAACGGGTTGGGTTCGGGTTGACCCGTATGTACCCGGGTCAATTTTGGGTTGAACCCGAACCCGACCCGTGACCCGGTTTTGACAGGCCTACCACCAGGGAGAAGCCAGTAGGAGGGAGTGGGGAAAATTTTAAGAGGCTGACAGAGAAGGAGATGCAGTAGAAGAAGGCAAAAGGCTTATGTTTCTGGTGTGATGAGAAATATACTCCAGGGCACAGATGTAGGTATCGAACTCTTCAGGTTCTCACCGCCTGTGATGACAAGGAAACTGATGAGGGAGGTGAGAGAGAGATAGATGACAAGTTGCATCTGGATGTGGTGGAGGTCTCCTTGAATTCAGTAGTAGGATTCACTTTGAACCATATGATGAAAGTGAAGGGGGAAATAACAGGCATGGAGGTGGTTGTATTGCTAGACAGTGGATCTACCCATATTTCATTTCCACTCAGGTCGTCAACCAACTGGGAGTGAAATTGGTGGACACCGATTATTATGGGGTTATGATGGGTACAAGAAAGGTGGAGAAAGGCCTGGATCTGTAGAGGAGTGGTGTTGACCATCCAGGGGATTCAGATAATGGAGGATTTTCTCCCACTAAAGTTAGGAAGTACTGATGTCATCCTGGGGATAAAGTGGTTGCAAACCTTAGGGGAAACAAAGGACAATTGGGGAGCACTCACGATGGAATTAATCGTGGATTGGAGAAAGGTAGTTATAAGGGGAGATGCAGGACTATCCAAAGTCATGGTATCAATTAAGACCATGGTTAGGAGCATACAAGAGGTGGGAGAAGATTATATGGTGGGACTACACAGGTTGGATGTGATCAGATTTAAGGGAGGGGATGTTTCTCTTTAAGTGCAACCCTTGATTCCGCAATTTGATAAGATTTTTCAGCCACCTCAAGGATGGCCACCTCCACGAGAACATGAGCATATTTCCACCTTGAGGACAAGGTGGATCTTTGGGAGGGGAGTATTGTTAGACCGGTCCAGCCGGTCCAAGCGGGACCGGCTTACGGGCGAAACAACGGAACTCTTCCGCCTCCTGCAGATGTCATGCGATCCGAACACGTAGAAGGAGCTATTTAGGAAGCTTTTTGAAGCTATTTAGGAAGCTTTTAGGAAGCTTTTTCAAGGATGGCCACCTCCACGGGAACATGAGCATATTTCCACCTTGAGGACAAGGTGGATCTTTGGGAGGGGAGTATTGTTAGACCGGTCCAGCCGGTCCAAGCGGGACCGGCTTACGGGCGAAACAACGGAACTCTTCCGCCTCCTGCAGATGTCATGCGATCCGAACACGTAGAAGGAGCTATTTAGGAAGCTTTTTGAAGGGTGTTGAGAGGGAAATTTGAATGTAGGGATTGTTTAGAGATTTCCTTGTGAATTGTATATATTAAATAGTTTGTTTTCCTAGGGTGAGGGCATATGGAATTTGGCTGAAATTTGATATCTCCTAGATTTAGGCTTTTCTTTGGGCTCTAGCGGTGTCTAGAGATTTGGGAGAAATCGATCCTACTCTCGAATAGAGGATCAATTGTATCTTGCTATTTTTCGTTTCCCTTTCATCAAATAATACAAATTATCTATTGTTTTTGTGATTTTGTGCGGATTTTTGTGAAGAATTCTCGCTGTTTTCCGAAGATTGATAGGAAATACTTGAGATCTACAAGTGTTTCCTATCAAAACATCATAGGTTGATTTTGTAAAAGGTGTCATTTAAGAGATTCCTTAAACTGGAAACATCTTGAAGCAACCAATAACTTGTCCATTATGTTGGTTTAAGCTCATGCACTTTAAGGGCCTTGAAACTGGCATTGCTATATAACACCAAAAGCTTGCTTACCGTTGATCCCACTTAACAAACATCAAAATTATGGCACAACATTAATTCCCTTCCTTCAGAGAAAAAGTATAATTCATCAAATGTGAGCATCTAGTCTTTCCATTTGTACCAGAAGATTAGTCTGAAAATCAGAGTCCCATAAAACAATTCTAGCCTCTGTTAAATAATACATCTCTTAAACCATCCTCGAAGTCTGACTAAGCAAAAGGCATAAAACATAGCCAGAATATAAACAATGCACATTGAAAGCTAGAATATGTGCACACATCACTTTGATATTGGACTCCATAAACCAAATAGGAGTAGTCTTTAAGTACTTGACAAATAACTAAATGATAACTATATCAAAGAGAATTCATTAGAACAATGACAATCCAAATTAATTACAATAAATACCTTAACAGCCTTATGCTGATGAGCCAAGGCTGCACTTCCTCGGTGGAGTAGACAACATCCTTCCAAAACTCTAAGAGCGAGAGCAACTTCCGAATCTGTAGCAGGGCTGCTTATTTTCATAGGCTCCACACCAAAGATTTGATCCAATTTCACAATCGGGTCATTTTTCAGTTGCTTCAAACTATTATTGAATAGAACAGGAACCACTGATAAATAAGAAAATCCAACATTAATCAATCGAACTTTTAGTTCTCAAATGACAATATTTCAATTGGACACCAACTGCTTTAAATACATGATGCAAAACACAATCATATCATTTTATGCTAAAATATATAATAATTGGAAGGTCCAGATAACAAACATTGCCAGCAGATTTTCAAGGATTCAGCATTTTAAGATCAATAAATAAGATCAGGCCAGGTATGATGCAATTTTCTGCATCCTATAGATACAGTTAGGGAAACAATGACACAATATGGTTAACTTTATTCTTATTACTAGCAAATACATCATACACTACCAGTGTTAGGCCGGTTCTCACTGAACCGGCCCAGCCGGCCCAAGAAGGGCGGCTCTAGTATATAGGAGACGGACAAACCTGGGGCGGGCCAAACCCCCCCCCCCCCCCCCCCCCTAAAGCCCCCCAAGCCTAGTGGACCCCATATGAAGCAAATTAAGAAGAGAGAGAGAGAGAGGGGCGGCTAGGGTTGGAGGAAATTTTTGAATTAGGAGTTTGAATTAAGGGATTAAATAGTAAGAGTTGTTTAGAGTTAGGGTTATGCATGCTTATTATTTCTCTTGGAGTTCTCTTTGTGGTTTTGGGCTCTAGATTTATCGTCTAGAGATTGGGAGAGAACGATCCTCCTCTCGAATTGAGGATCAATTATATCTTTGCTTGTTCTTGCTTTTGGTTTGATTCCTAGAATACAATCTATTATTTTTGGATTATTTTCATTGGAGATATTGAGGTTTTCTTGTTGTTTTCACCAATTATTGTTAGGTTTGCTTGCGAACTTAAGTATTTCTTATCAAATTGGTATCAAAACAAGTCTTGGGACCATTGTGGGCTACTTTTCTAAATTTCAGCGGTGAAATTTTACCCGGAAGAAGGATTTTTTGTTGATTTTCGGAAGAGCAATATTCAGATATTTTGTTCATGGCAGCCAAGAAGGTTGACGCATTGGAGGAATGCCTGGAAGGGGAGATGAATCAGATAAAGAAAATGGTGGAGGATAGAATTTCCTCCATGGAAGGGCATGTAACTGATTTGCGGGATATTATGAAAAAGATGTTGGAAATCCACAACCAAACGGCGACATCAGGGGCAAAAGGGACAGAAGGAAATGATGCGAATTCTGAAATTCATAGGTACGAAGACAAGGTGGAAATCGTAAAGTGAAAGAAGGAAACCCCATATGGAGCCTTTCTAGAGGTTTTGGGAAAAGCATGTGTATGGAGGGCAGGAGAAAATGGGAGCTAATTGAGAACGTAGGGAAGGAAATTATAGCCGCCAGGTTGCCGATTTTGAAGGAAGGAGAGGGGATTTCGAAGGAGATTATGGGTATGAAAGGGGAAGGGAAGATCGGGAGACTTGGGGAGGGTCAAGTACTTGGGAAAGGGGAAACTATGGAGGAATAAGGAGATACAGGGGAGATCAGAAGGTGGGGAAATTGAAGATGCCCATTTTCGAGGGAGAGGACGCACATGGGTGGATCTATAAAATGGAAAGGTACTTTGCCATCAATGAGTTTACGGCGGAGGAGAAATTGACAGCAGCCGACTTATGTTTGGAGGGGAAGGCGTTGTCATGATATCAGTGGAAAGACTAGATGAGACCCTTACGGAGCTGGAGAGAGTTCAAAGATTTTTTATTAGAATGTTTCCAAACCGACAGGGGATAAGATTTCTATGAGCAATTCTTTGCATTGGTACATGACAGATCAGTAGCAAACTATCGTGAGAGGTTCGAGCATCTGGCCATTAGGGTGGAGCGTTTTTCAGAGACAACATTAGAGGGGAATTCCCTAAAGGGACTCAAATCAGATATTAGAGCTGCAGTAAAGGTCATGAGGCCTAGTGACTTGGAAGATGCCATGGAGTTGGCACAGCTGGTAGAGAATCAGAGGTATCATGAGAGGGGAGCCAGGAGCAGAAGTTCAGGAGGCTCCTACAAGCTGACAACTACTCTTTTAGCACCCAAAGGTCCGACAGCAGGAGGGTTTTGTGAGACCACTAGGGAAAAGCCAGTAGGAGGAAGCGGGAGAAATTTCAAGAGATTGACGGAGAAAAAGATGCAGAAGAAGATGTCAAAGGGGTTATATTTTAGGTGTAATGAGAGGTATACTCCGAGGCATAGGTGTAAGGACCGAACTCTTCAGGTTCTCACCGTCTATGATGATGAGGAAACTGAGGAGGGAGCTGAGGGTGAGATAGAGGAGGAGATGGAGGAGAAGTTGCACTTAGATGTGACAGAGGTATTCTTAAACTCAGTGGTAGGATTTATCTCAAATCATACCATCTATGTTGCTCCGATACAGATACGGCGACACGGATATGACACGATACGGATACGGGACACAACAATTCTAAAACATACAGGATACGGATACGGTGCAGATACGACATTATAATATATAAATCATACATAAAAAATAACAAATTAATCAAAGCATAATATTTGAAATGACAAAAAAATTGAAAGCAACATTATTTGTAGCATTACTAACATTGTATCTTATAATATCAAAATAAAAATAAGCATTAAATATTTAAATGTCTAGTACAACAACAAAAACATAAACATAAATTGTCCAGCAGATAAAGTTTTTAATTAAAAGTACAAATGATTGACACAATTAATCCACATGAATTTGAAAAATGAAAATTTTTAATAAAAAGTATAGATATGTTGCGCCTATGCCGGGGGTCCAAGGGGGCGTTGCCCCCTGGCGGGGTTCGACCTGCCCGGTCAAATTTTTATTATAAGAGTTGCTTTAAAGTTTTCTCTACCTTCTCGGCACTGCTTGGTACCATTCGGTACCCCTCTGTACCGAGCAGTACCGAGCAATACCTAGCGGTACCGAGTACCGAGCAGTACTGAGTTCTAGTATCGCTCGGTACCGAGCAGTATCGAGCAGCACCGAGCAGTACCGAGTACGAAGCGATAAGCGTGTCCGATATGCGTGTCCGATCAAATTTAAAAAATATTTTAATTGGACAAGGCAAAGCCGTATTCGACATGTATCCGTGCCGTATCGGAGGCGTATCTGTATCTGACACGTGTCAAATACAGCATGCCTCATAAATAGGTGTATCCGTGCAACATAGCATACCATAAAAGTGAATGGAGAAATAGCAGATATGGAGGCGATAGTGTTGATCGATAGTGAAGCTACCCACAACTTTATCTCCAACCAGGTTATGAAACACTTAGGTGTGAGATTGGTGGATATAGGACGTTATGGGGTAATGATGGGTACGGTGAAAGTGGAGATAGGCCAAGGGATCTATAGGGGAATAGCGTTGATTATACAGGGGGTTCAGGTGAGGGAGTATTTCCTCCGATTGGAGCTAGGGAGTACTGATGTCATCCTGGGGATAAAATGATTGCAGAGTTTGGGAGACCAAAGTCAACTGGGGGGCATTGTAGATGGAGCTGGTGGTGGAGGGGAAAAAAGTAATGATAAAGGGAGATGAAGGGCTCTCCAAGGCCATGGTCTCACTTAAAATAATGGTGAGGAGTATACAGAAGATGGAGGAAGGTTACCTGGTGGAACTACACAGGTTGGAAGGGATCAGAATGGAGGAAGGAGGAGAGGTTCCTCTTTCAGTACATCCACTAATTCAACAATTCAGTGAAGTTTTACATCCACCTCAAGGATTGCCGCCATCAAGAGAGCAGAAGCATGTCATTACATTGAAGGAAGGAGTGTCACCCATCAACGTCAGGCTCTACCGATACCCCCAATTTTAGAAGGATGAAATTAAAAGGTTGATGAGAGAGATGCTGAAAGCAGGGATCATTAGGCCTAGTGTTATCCCAATCTGTTGCTTTTTAATTTATTTCAGTCATCTTTCTCTTTCATAAATATTTGTCATCAACATAAAGATAAGAGTAATACTCCAAAATTTATAGAGGAGATGGTGGCAGCGTGCGGTTTTCAAGTGATGCCCGATGACGGCTACGACAGTGATGACTACGACAAAGGCGGTGAGTTGGAGGTCGAGGCAGCTGAGAAGTTGTTGCAGCCTGGGTCTTGCAAGAATGCGCGATTTTTTTGGGGGCTTTTATGTAGAATTTAGGTAAATTTTAAATAAAAATACATAAATAAAGTGAGGTATATGCCTCATACCAGCGAGGCGAGGCACGCCTTAAGGTGAGCTTCAGCCAAGATGAGGCGTAAGCCTCATAAAAAATGCTCGAGACGTTTTTCACTGGAATTGCGTTGAGGCGAGCCTCACATTGTGCAATTTAAAATAATGCTCGTACAAAAAGCTATAAGGTATGAAACTATGAATATGTTATATCTCATAGTTATATCTTGGTGGAAACTAAGATTCTTGTCCAACAAAACTTCTATGGATTTTATATTACTTTATTTTTCTGATAGCTAGATAATTACATTGTAATATCAGTAGGAGATGGAAGTCAAGGCGATCAAGAAGAACCTAACTGATGGCTATGATATGTCATATAATGCTTCAAACCTTGGCAATTCTGAAACTTTTGTTATACCAAGTGTATTGAACTATTGTTAAACCTCTTTGTTGCATTCACTGCTTAATCCCATAGTGTTAAAATCAAATTGAATTGTCCTAGCTCAATTGGAATTATAATATCTAACTGGATTGTATCCATAGGCAGGAATGGGACCATGTAAATGAAAACTTAGACCATCTTTGAGATAGTTTGAAAATGTTCTTTAGGATTATAAATATATTTACATTTTTAACTATATTAAACTAAATAAAGGAATTTAGTAAATTTTTTATTTTTCAAAACATTATTTTAAACATCAAGCGATTAAATGATCCTTAAGATACATTAAATGTTATCAACCTAAATCATACAGTTCACTATTGAATGATTTTTGCATGATAAATTTATCTCAATGTGAAATTAATCCTAATGAGACGCATTTAAAGTGCACTTGGAGCACATGCATCTTTTTACCTGTTAAAGGCTTCAATAAAAGAATAACAAACTAAGCATCTCAAAGCAGAAGACCTTCACTACATCCAGATTCCAGGACTGAGTTTTCTTTTTTTTTTTTTTTCTTTTTTTTTATTTGGATGTTGAGTGCTGAAGCACATTACCACACTCACTAATATCCTTACCAGAACCCACGAGTCATAAAAACTACAGCAGACAACTGCATGATACATTTGACATTTACTTTTTAATATCTTTTAGTGTGTATTGTAACTCCCAACTAATTTTCACTAAATATTAGTTTTGCATTCAATCTAACAAGAATATAATCTGACCCCAGTGATCAACCCATGCACAATGATTCATTCCACTAACCACCGAGGGGAATGCAAACATCGGACATCGAATCAAATTGATGTACTAATCGCATCGATTAAGGACGCTCAACTAAGAAAACATATCAAACGTACACCGCTCTCAATTTCCACAATAAGTCGATCCTATGAGACTCGCAGAAACAAAAATAAGACGAAAACTCCAGCCGCAGTATGAGCCCCAATCCTAAAATGATGAGAAAAGCGCCTACCGAGATGGAGAAAATGAGATATCAATGTTTGACACTTCAATACCTTGTAATTCTGAAAGGGTTTGTGAGTAACGAAAGACGCGAATGGCGTCGTCGGAATTCGCGATCGATCTGAGAGATTTAAGAAGGTTCCGGAGTCCCCTAAGCCTGAGAAAAGAAAAATCCGCCGTAGCGTCCCGAATTCCTGAACGGAGCGCAAGAGTCACCTCCCGGTGCATTCTCCGTCTGTCAAGGGAAGACACCAATTCCCCCACCGTCGCCGCCGTCTCCGGCGGCAGACCGGTTGCCGCTTGGCCGGGTCCCCGAGCGTCACCGCCGGATCCTTCGCCGGAGATGGATGCAGCGGTGCCGCCCCATAGCTCCCTCTTCTTCAGGTACATCGCTGAAGAACCCACCAACCGCTGATTCGCGCGGCGCGTCCCGTTGGCTGATTTTATCGCCGATTTGCGAGTTCCATCGGTTGGATTCGCAAGCGGACAGAGTGGAGCTGTGAGCAAAGTGTTTTTTTTTTTTTTAAATATACATACTTACCACAAAGTAATTTCTTTATATATCAAATCTCTAAAATAGCATATCTTTGAATATCAAATTACTATTTTTTTTTTAAACTCAGAAATATAACTCTGATAATCATTTGTTTGGAAAGATTTTTTTACTGTTATTAAAATAGTTTGTATTGAAAGCTATTTTAAGAAGCATTAAGAAAATAATCCAAAGACTTCGTATGGGATGGCTTTCTTGCTTTCTAAAATAGCTTTCTAGTACAATTTTTTTTTAATTTGAAATTTTTATACTAGAAATCCGTTTTAAAAAATAGTATGAAAATTATCCCAAACGAAATCTTAATCTTCTATGGAGGAAAAGGAGAAATTTACTTTGATAAATCTACAATACACAACATAAAATTCTCTCAAATAGCTAACAATAGCACATGCTTGTCCTTGTTCAAAATTTGGTCTGATTCAATAGATAACAACAACACTCTATGATTATTATTTTAGGCTTAATTTGGGATTGTTTTTTTACTGCTTCTCAAACAACGTTTTAGTATAAAAATTAATATTTTTTTGTTGGTGCTAATAGAAGAAATTGAATGATATGTCATTAGCTGAAGATCAAGATTATGAATTATATATCACATTTGTGGCATATCTCCTAAATAATTTAAGCTTATTACAAATGGCATTGAGGTAATGGAAATGGTAAGATTGTATGTCGAAGGTGTTGAGTTGAGATAGTTATTATAACACAAGAGGATATAAATCTTCAAGATTAGGGATGTCAAAATGAGTTGATGGGTGGGGTTCGAGTACGACTCAAAATCGACCTGACTTGAATCCAATCAATTTGAACCCAACCCATTTAACAAATGAGTAAAAAACATCAATATAATATGCTAGCAATCCAAATGAAATAGAAAATAATATAGTATCTTGAAATTATTTCACTATGAAATCAATAGAAAATGTTAGTTTGAGCTTTTTAAATTCGCAGAAATTTTTTTCTTGTACATTATATTTGATTGAATAGAGTTTATTTTATTTGGAGTAAAAATTTCCTATAAGTGCATTCCCCTATAGCTAATTACATTTAAAGTGTGGTTAGCCCTTTAGAATTTTTTTGATTAAAATAGTGATTTGCATTCTCTACATCAAAATATTGGCTAACTTAATTTTAATGATTTCAATTTAAATTTAGAATTCAAGAGATGGTTAGATTAACTTAAAATTAATTTCATTAAGCACTTAAAAGAGGAAAGTGTATGAGTATTTGATTTTGATAAACTCAAAGGTACTCAATACTATCATATATTAAGCTTTATATTTTGAGATTAAATATATATTGAAATTGGCAAATTTAATTTAGAAGATTAAAACTTACATTCCAACAACATAAGATTGACAAAATGCCCAAAAAAATAAGAGAACTTATGATGTAACTACAAAAATATATCAGTCTCAGATCTTAGACCTTAGTTCTAAGATGAAAACAACTAATAGGCAAACTCAGTCTTACAATCTTAGCTGAAAATGCTAGTCACCTAAATCTACAAAAAAGCACTTTTAAAATCATGCAATCTTGGTCTCAAAGCATAAGCAAGATGGGATTATTTGTTTTTCTTAGAAAAATATGACCTATAACTTAGTGAGTCAAGCTAAATTGCCTAATCATGAATGATATGTCATACCAATGCAAGCTTTTTGTAGTCTCCCCTTTGTCGGCCAAAAGGGAGTTTTATGAATCTAAAAAAATAGTAATTACTCTTTTCAATGATGTTCAATTTTGTACGATTAATCAGTTTCACTAATTGATAGAAATAATAAATAATTTACTATCTAATTTTCTTACCCTTTTTTCAATTCACTCTCCAAATGAGCAAGAGAATTGTGGAACTAAATATACTCACCAATATATGGATAGATGCAACTTGTATGTAGCGGTCGAGTCCTTCTCATAAGAGATTAATTGATAGGTGTACTTGTCAAAAGCATACCCACTTAGAGAGGGCATGGGCATGCCTCAATAAGATCCAAATATGGAAGACACTTGCCCTAGTGAAGCTCACCTTAGAAAAGCTTGACCAATAAAGTACACACCTCGAATAGGTTTGACTATGGGAAGAACTAGCCTCATTAGCATCAACCTAAGGTGGTACTCACCTCATGATAATACTTACTCTCCCTAGTTGAGAAGAATTGACTCTCTCAAAGGCCCCTTATTAAAGTTCCAGAAAATGTACACCTATAAACTCACGTTAACGGCCTCATCGACCATACTAACTCCCAACTCAAAAGAATTGGCTCGAGGTACTCTCTCGAGGCACTGACCAGAGGCACTCATTTGAGTCACTCGTCTGAGGTATCCACCAAAGGTATTGGCCAAAGACATCCATAATGACCATTTTAAAGCCTTGTCATATATGATAGGACACATGTATCTATTTTGGTTAATACATATGTCTCTAATAGTCAAATGTTATAAAATGTTATTATTGTTATATTTTAGCCTTTTATGTAGTTATCCCAATCCTATAAAAAAACATTTGAGTGATATTGTTTAGACTTTTGACTATCAAAGTTTATGATATTTAACATTTATAGATTTATTCTTATTCATCTCTCTCTCTCTCTCTCTCTCTCTCTCTCTCTCTCTCTCTCTCTCTATACCTATCACCATAGTTAATATGGATAATAAGGTCAAGGTATTGCCAACAAACAAATATGGATTCAAAATATCCTTTCAAAAGAAATAATTGCATGTGTGAAACTTCTTAAGAAAATAAAGCTAAACTCTTAAACATTAAGATATATTTTTGATGTAACGGTTGAAATTTCATTAAAACTTTTAAAATTAAAGTGTGCCCGTATAAGAGTACTCATGGGATAGGTGATAACTTCAAAAGTTACACCAACATAACAAAATCATGAAGCCATTAGGCCAAAGTAAATAATATCCTGGTGGTTGAGAATTTGAGTTATTACAAATGGTATTAGATCAATACATAAGCCTGAAGATGAGAATTATCTACAATACTAGACAAAATGTTACATCGTGTGAGTCATTTATTGAACTCTAGATGGCGGGAGCCACCACTTGAACTTGTGGGGACCACCTCTAGAATCCC